GGCCACGACCTTTGCCTTCACACCCGAGTACTGACTACAGGCATGCGCCACCATGCCCGGCTTAATTTTTTATAGAATAGTATATCAGTTGGAATTAATTCTTTCTATTATAGAGACGTCGGTCCTCTTCTCAGGCTGTTTAACTCCGACCTTGAGCAATCGCCGCTCGCCTCCAATGAGCTAGGATGTACAGCGTGAGCCACAGCGCGGTCAAATAATGTTAAATTATAGTTATGATATAACTGCTTTTATCTCATGAATCAACCTTTTACAATGAGAGCTTTGCCCGTAGTTGTGTGTCTGAAGAAATATCTTAGGCCCTTAGTTGTTTTGTTGTTTGTTGTTTGAACAATTGTCACTCTGCCTGATAGAGTGCCATGCGTCCTAAGTCCACACAACATGCACGCCTGGCAGCAACCTCCTTGCTCACCTCGGTATAGCATGCGCCGACCTGTGCAGCATATTTTTATTATATGTATTTTATTGCAGCTAATTTCTGTTTGTTCCAGTAGAATGACTCTTGTCTCAGTGGTCTCCAATCTGAGGCAAAGAATACTTCCGCCTGCCCCCAGCAGGCTAGATTACAGCGTGACGCACGCCCGCCGTATGTGTTAATTCGTACAGAAAATTAGATTGAAGGAAGAATTATTTCCTACAGGAAATTAAGTTTTGAATTTAAAGTGCATCTGTATTTGTCAGTCATTAATAAATGGATTCTACTTATTTTAAACAGCTTTACTGGAAGATAATCACATACCATAAAGTTACTCATTAAAGTAAGAATCCAGTGATAATTGTTGTTTTGTTTTGAGACAGAGTCTTGCTTTGTGCCCAGGCTAGAGCGAGTGCCATGGCGTCACTAGCTCACAGCAACTCAACTCCTGGGCTCAAGCAATCCTGCTGCCTCAGCCTTCCCAGTAGCTGGGACTACAGGCATGCGCCAACATGCCCAGCTAATTTTTTCTATATATATTAGTTGGCCAATTAATTTCTTTCTATTTATAGTAGAGATGGGGTCTTGCTCTTGCTCAGGCTGGTTTTGAACTTCTGACCTTGAGCAATCCACCCGCCTTGGCCTCCCAGAGTGTTAGGATTACAGGCGTGAGCCACTGCGCCCAGCCTAATGATTTTTAGTAAATTCACAGTTGTGCAACCATTACCAAGGTCTAATTTTAGAACATTTTCATCAACCTAAAAAGAAATGCCTTGCCCATTCCAGTCATTCCCAATTTCTCCCTTTCCCAGTCCCTAGGCAGCTACTAATCTACTTTCTGATTCTATAGATTTGCCTATTATGGACATTTCGTAAAAATGAAATTGTACAATTTGTGGTGTTTTGTGACTGGGTTCTTTCACTGAGCAAAATGTCAATAATAATAATGGATTCTACTCATTCCTTTCTATGGCTGAATAATATTCTATTGTATGCACATGCCACATACCACATTTTAATCATCCATTTGTCAGTTGATGAACCATTTGTGTTTTTACCATTTTTATACTATTGCAAATAATGCTGGTATAAACATTCATATATGAATTTTTGTGTGGACATACGCCTTCATTTCTTTTCGGTATATTCCTAAGAGTGGAATTGCTGGGTCCATATGGTAACTCTATGCTTAACATTTTGAGGAACTGTCAAACTGTTTCCCCAATTAGCTGCACCATTTTCCATGCCCACTATCAGTGAACAAAGGTTCCAATTTATTCACGTCCTTGCCAACACTTGTTATTGCTGGCAAGTATAGCCATCTTAGTGAGTGTAAAGTGATATATAATTGTGGTTTACCTTCTCATAATGATTAATGATATTCAGCATCTTTTCATGTGCTTATTGGTCATTTGTATTTCTTTAGAGAAATGTCTGTTCTGATCCTTTGCTCATTTTTTAATTGGGTTATTTACATATTTACATTCCTTATTGAGTTGTAAGAGTTCTCCACCTATTTTTTTAAAGTCATGTTTTTTGAAGTATAAGTTACATTAAAAATTATCTTTTTGGGTGTATAATTCCTTGCATTTTGGTTAATTGTATACACCTGTGTGTAACCACCACTACAATCAAAATATAGAAAATCTTTGTCTTTCCCCCAAATTACTTTATGACCTTTTGTAGTCATTCTTCTCTTCCTATCTGCCACCTCTGGCAGCTATTGATGTGATTACTATCCCTATAATTTTGCCGTTCCCAGAATGTCAAGCAAATGGAATTTATATGTAGTCTTTTTATGTCTTGCTTAGCACAATGCTG